ATTGAAACCCGGATTCTAGCGTTGTAAGTCCGCATACATGCCGATGTGCCACTTGGGGGGCTTTATTAATAAGAAACATTTTAAAACGCTTAATTTTTCATTATTGCACCATGGAATCTACTCTAATTGCTCGCGCCCACACACGTTGGTCAACGGTGATTTAACGAATAAATTTTTGAGCGCTTATTTTTGAAATGATAAAATATAGCTTACAATATCTTCAGAGGGCGTTATACGGACTAGTGTAATGCATATGATATAGATATAAAACACTTAGAAGCTAACATTAAAGTTAAGAGCCTTTCATAATCTCGTCTTTGTTAGTTGATTTTGGCTTCAGTAAACCTGAATCTTCTGCCTCTTTCTGAATCAAACTACAATAGAGTATTAAGTAATCATTCTATTACTCCAGAGAACCTTATTGACGTTTACTTGTAATGAGGAGGATCACGCAAGGTTCTTTTTGACTATTTCTTAGCTATCGTCAAAAACATTATGTAAAAGTGGATGTTTAAGATCTCTCAGTCTTTTTTAATGGATATGGAAAGCTAGGGATTATAAAGCACCTAGGCTGCTTCTGTGACTACCGTAGTTAAGATAAAACATGTCATTTTCCTGTGCTTTCTATTGATGAAATATGATGTAGTACATTAAGATCACCGCCGTCAACACAATGTTAAATCAACCCAATATCCTAACTATGCACGAACTACGAAACTGGTTATCTACAACACAAAAACTATTCAGATTAAATTTCTATATCTTAATACGTAGATTTTATCACTCCAAGTTTGCTTCTTAATACAAAATACAGATTTATTTTTCGTTGTTGTGTGTTTGTTCTGTTTCTATTTCTAAATTTTGGACGAACATTTAAGTTTTTCCAAGTAGTAGTAGTAGTAGTTGCTAGATTACCGATCTTGTCAAATTACTTCGAGAAATCCAAGTAAATTAAAATGTTCGAAGCTTAAGTTAGAGGTTTAACCATTTGCCAATATCTAAGTAATGTACTGATTTAATGAATTTGTAACTTGGATAAAATGAATAATGGGCTAATTTGTTTCTCTTCAATTCAAGATTTTAGTTGTTACAGAATCTTACAAAAATTAAAAAATATATATAAAAAATTCCTTCGTTATTTGTATTCTACAAAATATAAAACACTGGACTTTTATTTTTTTATGTTCTCTACAATTTGTGGTGAATATTAGTTATTATAAACCATCGTAATTCTTACACTTACACGTGGGAGACCGGGGATGGTTAGCCATAGGGGCAGGGTGACATAATACTGATGACTTTCATATGCTGAAGTTGGTAGGCTTGATATCACGACCACTAAGTCATCCAAACATATGTCATTTGCTGTTGTAGTTTCATCATGATCGGAAGTCGTGTGCAAGAGTAAAAATTAATATTTTCACATATTTTTCTTGCAAAGTTTGTTATGTTATATCAAATACTTTGTTAAGAGAATTTAAACTACATAGTATTTCATAATTGTCTTTATACAATAGTAAAGAATGTTGATGTTTTAGGTTATTCTAATACACAAACACCAGCATTTGAATATATAAAAGTGATATACAGAGAATAAAGCTTTGTTCATTGTCTTCTTTTTTTGTAAATTTTTTGGTGTTGTTACAAACCCAATTTCTATTGTTCCGCTTCGAAAATTAAAGAAGCATTATCAAAATAAAAAATGATAATTAAACTTATTTCAACTACGTTACAGTTGATGCAAATATATAATATTAAACATTATCAACTTAGTTAAGACATCTAACCAACATGCTCAACCATACCCTGATCACAAGTAGTAACGTTTGAATAGGGCATGCCATATTAACCTTTGAACTTGCAACACTTTATCTACGAATTTTAGTTTTAACTATAAGTTCTCTGATCTTACCACGTACAATGCTTCCATCAAGTTGTGCAATCAGAGGCTAGGAAGTTGGAAAAGTTTCGTCAAGGACCAAGAGATAGAAATACAGATACAAACTGCTTCGTATTATAGATTACGAATAAACAACAGAGAAACCTCCACTTGACGCAAGCCAGACTGTTATTATTTGCATTATCTTGTACAGCAAAACTAGTACTTTTTTAAATAAAAAGTGGTCTGAAAAAAACGTGTGATTTGCTGGCATGTAATTGGTTTTAGAGCTTTAAAATGAATTGATCGGCCAAATCTTTATACAGAAATTTACCACATTTGTTTCACTTTATGGTGACTTCTAGTTTAATCACTTAAGTAATTACAACTGACATATATCGCTTTTCTTCTTCTTGTGGAGAATAAATAATGCCATAAGCTACGGAAAATTGTGAAATAGTTTATGAACAGTAAGAAATAAAATGTTTAATTTTCATGCGCTTGAAGGATCCGAAAAGAAACAAGAGCTTTCTAACACAGGTTTAGACAGAAAAACAAGAATACGTTAGTTCTCTGAGAAAGTTCTTATTGATTGTAGAGAAAATTCAACTTCATTCCAAAGATATATATTGGACGAGATAGTGTTTCATAGCCTAGAAAACAGCTACAATAAAACAAAACTGCCAAATTTGAGCTTCAATGAAATGACAGTTGCGAAGAATAAATATCAGTGATTAAACACCGTCTGACTGCGTGATACACAAGCTCGTCCGTTATTCTTCCGCATGAGAAAGGAACATGCGCACTGTGCTTCCGCGGTCGTGTAAAACCTCTTGTGCTCACGATCTGAGTGTACATTCTTATGTCGATCAGCGCTAAAGCAATTGAAAAATTGTCGGTTTTTCTTACATCAGATCGGTGTGATAACACATTTTCTTTCATTAAGTTGCTAAGGATCTTGTGATTTTATTATATATGAATGACAAGAGAGAACTTCGAATAGAACAATTGCTGAAAACTTTACAAGCAATTGCATGAAAAAATCAGTGCTGCTTTAAAGCAGTGCAACTTTAATTTCTGCAAACCTAACTGAAAAAAGAGTAGTCCATTCATGATCAATTGAACGTCTTGAAGTTTACCTTGTAATTAATGCTGCACCAAATGAAGAAGAAAACATGCTACATATGAACAATGGTTTCAACCAAATTTTATACAGGTGTTCATCACGTGTTAAAGACACACAGAGAAGAGAAACTCTAAAAACATCTCAAAGGTATCTGTCGACGAAAAGAGCAGTATAAAGTATTTTCTGATTATTATTTGATAAAGTGTTGGAGGATACTTGTAATTTGCTTAAGATGTATGGAATGTTGCTGGAAAGCGTCCAACATTTTGTTCGGAAGGAATATGGAGATCAGATGTGGCTTCAGGGTCTGGAGGGCTCTGCTTTTAAAAACTGTGTCTTCAGCACACACCAAGTGTATCCAGATCACATCATGAAAGATTTAGCTGCAGCTTTTGCCAAGCACACAGGTGCAGAAATAGACGATTTCATGCGTTTTTTCGGACGGTGTTTCGTCCGTTTTTTTAGCCACTATGGTTACGATAAACTGATTCGAGCTTCTGGGCGATTCTTTCGTGACTTTATCCATGGCATCGATAATCTACATCATCAGATGAGGTTTAGTTATCCGCGGATGCAAAGCCCATCTTTCTATGTAGAATCTGAGGACGTTTTTGGAGCCGTCTTGCATTATAGGTCTAAACGTCAAGGCTTTACTTACTACGTTATTGGTCAGCTGGTAGAAATTGCCACTGTTGTGTATGGATTAGAACTGGAGATCTCTATCATTCAGGACATTCCAGATGAAAAAGGGACAGGATGTCATATTATTTACCACCTTCGCTTTGATAACAAACCCTACAAGAAGGTCCAACAAATTCGCCAAGAAGCAAAAGATCTATGCCCAGTTTCATGGATTTACCTATTTCGACTGTTTCCCTTTGGCGTAGCTTTTGATAATAATATGATTATCATGGAAGTTGGTGGAAAACTTAAAGAGATATTCCAAATTTCGGACTTGGTTGGAAAACCTATGGAACTGTTTTTCCTATTACATCGTCCTCGAGTTTCGTTTAACTGGGAGAATGTAAGTCTACTTCTATTTCTCAGATATAAAGTTTACACAAACATGAGTACTAAGAGGTAAATATATATTTGAAAATTTGTGATGGTCAGATAACTTGTTTATTAAAATCTTTATAGGATAGGTTATTCCGCAATAGCTTAACAGCTTCGTTACCGTATATCTTGCGTTATATCATTCAATAGGGGTTGCAACAAATAAAGGAAACACGTGTTAATTTCTACATTTTATTAATTAATATAGAGCTTGTTCTTTAAAAGCAGACAGTATAGTATTAGTACGACGTGCATTTGATTAAACAGATGTTGCTGATCAGACAATGATATTTCTGACCATTCATTGATCATAGCTTCTTCAAACTGTTGAAGTGATGCTATTGGTGGAAATCTGCATCTTAGACTGGTTTCATGAACTAACCAGAGAAACCGAATAATATTTAGATCATGTGACTGTGGTGGCCGACGTGAGTGTCTAATTCCTTTTCCTATATCATCATAGAGCCTTTACCATACTTAACGGATGACATAAGACATTCAGGGTTGTAAGCTTTTTTTGGTTATCTGACCAAAATTTATATCTTTGGTCCACTTTTTATCATTTTGACATCATTCTTTATGTCATCAGAAACGTCTGAATAGCACCCCTACCATGTTAATCTATCTTGCACCGTTCTTTTCTTCTTCTTATGACAGTGATTGGTAGTAGGAAGCTAACATTATTTTGTTTTCGTCCCTCTACTTGTTGGGTTAATGCTTGTCTGTCAAGATCTACTATTTTAGTTTTTCGACCACTATTGTGTTTACCTGATGTCACTTTTTACACTGCTCCACAAGACATATTCATTATTTTAGATGTTCGTCTAAATGAAGACCCAACTAGATGTTCAGTTACAATCATGCTTCTTTCGAAACCTAGCGGACCTTTTAGAGTCTCTCTCTGAAAAAAAAAGCAAATAATTTAATGTACATTTACGTTACACTATAAACTACATTTCTTCCTCTTAGAGATATAAAAAACCTGTTGTTTAAAGAGTTGGTTGTTTCTATAGGTTTTATAATTTATGTAGATAGTTTTTGTGGCAAGTGACATGAAACTAGATCTTATCTGTTTTTTTTTTACATGTTTATCTGTCCGTCAGTCTGTAAGTTTTGTAAACGAAAATAAAGGTATTAAAAGTAAAATATTTTACGAAAACTCATTAAACGTTTCAAATGAATACATATAGAACTTATTAAATAACTAATGACGTAATAAGTCTTGAACTAGATCTCTTGTCATATTACAGATAAACTATTCACCAAATAATACGTAATATATGTTAGTTGCACTTATTCTAACTCAAATCTTTAAGTTAGTTTCATTTGGTCTGTTATGAATTTCGCGCAAAGATACACGAGAGCTATCTGCGCTAGCCGTCCCTAATTTAGAAGTTTAAAACTAGAGGGAAGGCGGCTAGTTATCACCACCCACCGTCAACTGTTGGGTTACTCTTTTAACAACGAATAGTGGGATTGAACGCACGTTATAACGCCCCCACGACTGAAAGGGCGAGCATGTTTGGTGTAACAGGGATTCGAACCATCGACCTGCGTAGCAACATACAAATTATTATAATCACACTCAAAGATTATGCTTTTCTTTAATAGAAGAAGGGGCTACTGTCAAACAATAAGGAAAACATCCACAAACCCTCTCAAAAAAAGAGAGATAAATACATAGCACTTGATTGATTTTGTTTGTTTTTGAATTTCGCGTACTTGAAATAAATGACCTATTAATTACTTTTTCTTTCGTAACGGTCACTCTACACCAGTTAGTACGAAAAAAGTAAATTAGAAACAGTATTGTGCGCCTGATGCTTCCTTTTTTATCATTTTATATAGAATACGTCTTAATTTGAAAGAAGAAATAATTATGTAAAAACATAAAAGTAAAAATTTCCATTAATATATATTTGAAGGAACGATCCACTTATTGATACCATTATATCATGAATGAATAAATTATATATATAAATAGGAATTGAAGAGTAAAATAATTTTTACGCCCTCGAGATAATATAAACCTAGGCTGGGCATGGCCTAGTGGCTAGCATGTTTGGACTATGATTCCGGGGTTTTTGGTTGAGAGACCATTGCGCAGCGATTTAAGAAACAAAAGTAAAATCCCATTGTTCGGTCAGACGTCCCCCCCCCCAGTGGCACAGCAATATGTCTGCAGAGTTACACAAGAATAGTCCAGACGAATATAAACCTTTTAGTAACGCCGTACGTAATCCCGTAACCCAATCATTATATATTGACGTCGTTCAAATATGCTATTAATTAGTTTTAACTGTTAATTATACTTTCTCAGGACCATCTAGAGTGCAATAGTCAAAAGTTCACTTATTTAATTTGTATTTAAACAGGTTAGTGTTTAATAAATGACACTAAACGTTTCGTCCTAACGGAAACATAGCGCACGAAACTTGTAGTTGCATCATACACAAGCTCACATAGTGGTGTTATGACGTAGAAGGTAGTTGTAAACGAATACTAAGTATATTTGTTCGCGTACTTTTATTATGAAAAATGGGTGTTAACAGTATGTTACCAACTGAAACTTGAATAGAATGCCAATATAGGATGACTATAATCATAGAATACAAACATATTGCTCATAGTCCAAAAAAGACGTTGGCCACTTTTGCGCTTTTCGCATTTTATCAAAAAACTTTTATCTTTTTCAGATACTCGTGAATAATCAAATTATTCTATTTCAGTTATTATGAGATCTGTATTTTGAAATGTATTACCCAATAAAAAAGCTTTTTTACCAAATACAGGTGTAATAACTTTGGAACTTCACACTATTAACTTCTCTTGTTGTCCATTTCAGCCCCCCCCCAGTGGCACAGCGGTATGTCTGCGGACTTACAACGCTAAAATCCGGGTTTCGATACCCGTGGTGGGCAGAGCACAGATAGCCCATTGAGTAACTTTGTGCGTAATTATAAACAAAACAAAAACCATTTCAGGGAAAATAACAATAAAAATTTCAAAGAAAATATAGGTGGCATCATATGCAAGAAGGATAATCTATCAAATTTAGGTTTGAAAATTAAGCAAGTCCATGCTCGTTAGCTGCCTTTGCTACCGATGAAAAGTTATTAGCTAGTTAAACACACAGTACTATGTGTCCAACCCAAATAATGAAGGAGAAAGAAACAAACTTACAGCTTAATTTCAGAAGATGCACATAGGTCTTAAGTTTCAAAACTGGTATCAGGTTTACAGTGAAGAGGTTTTCGCAAATCCTACTTCTTCCTTATCTTTAGCCTTTATCACAATGTTAAATATACAAAACTATATCGGTACATTACATTAAGTCGTTATAATGTTCTTCATGTGTGGTATACAGCCACTATTCCTTTATGAAATAGGAACTGGTGAATTTATTAACGCACGTTAAAAGAGTTATCTCTCGTTCGGAACAACATTTTTCAAATGAAAAAAAATAGTTATCACGAAACACACTTCCGTTACGTAGATACAAGAGAACTTTTAATCTACTCCTTATATAGGAAGCTTTACGCCCCGCGAGTTTTCAATTATATAAGTCCTGCCATTGTTTTAGTTTCGAAGAAAAAAGCGTTATATTTAATGTATATATTTTTTGTGTTGTCCTGTTGATAAAAAGTTAGAAACATCAACAAATCGTGAATCGTTTCCCTTTTAAAAGTTAAAAACATCAACAAACGGTGAATAATTCCACTTTTACGAAATAACATAAAACATTTTACTACGATCATCTAGATGTTTCGATGTAGAGACGCACCACACGTTTTCACTTCTACTAATTTCAGAGATGTAGCATTGAAGCAAAGCATAAAAACATGATTTAATCTCAAGGCACAAGAATCAGTGATAGAACATGAAGTAACGTACCAGTTTTTATATGTCTTACCTTAATTTCATTAATAATATTGGTCGAATGCTTAATATATATACAATATCTTTATGATGTATATATATGTATGTATTTACATTTATGATAAAGATTATTCTGTGTCGTTATGTTAGTACATGGATTGAGGGCTAGCCTAAATATTTTATGCTAGACGTATTTAGTGAGATATTGCTGGGATTACGACCGAAAATATCGATGACAGCAAAGGTGTTCAAAAGATGAACTAATTAATTATAAATACTTTGATTTTTGACATTGCATATTCCTAGTTAGGCCGATAAGTAAATTAGCTAAGTTAATTATTAATAAAGTTTTAATTCTTGTTTAAATAGATAGCTTGATTTGTTATCTATAATAGTATATTACAATCAACTTTGATTATATATAGGTTATAAAAGCACAATAAAGAAACAAATACAAATGCAAGGTATACTTGAACTTAAAGACAGTTTTGAAAACTAGTCTTAACTTTATGAATTTAATCAAGCACTAAATCTATGATTAAAATAAGCTTCTTAAAGCAACTTAAATTGTGTTCAGTACAAAGGTTCTGTTAGTTTTATGTATGCAATTATTAATATTAACGTCATAAAAAAACGTCTTTGAGTCTTGAATTATATTTATGTTGATTCATTCTGAAATTAAATTTTCAGTTTGCTCAATTATATTTATCTATGAGCTGAGAAGACACAGTTAATTGTGTCGCTAATTATTATCATTTTATTCTAATTTAAACAGTTTTCTCTGTTTTGCTATTTATAGAATTAGTACTAATTAAATGGTTATTTCTACGTAACCGACATCTTAAATCATAACAATGATAAATACCACTTTTAATATTATTGTATTTGTAGCAAAACACGTTATAAATCGTAAACTGCGTATATACAAAAGAAAAAAGTTAAATTAAGTAATTTTAAGAGCAAGTTATATAAAGAAATAATCTCCATTCTTCCAATAGAAAACTTAAATTTATCTTTTAAGTTCTTCACCTTTTTTTAAAAGGTAACAAAATTGAAACACACAGTATTAGAATAAATGTGTCAATATGT